ATATATTCACAATTTACATTTATATATTCAGGCTTATAACTATATATTCACAATTTACATTTATATATTCAGGCTTATAACTATATATTCACAATTTACATTTATATATTCAGGCTTATAACAACATATTCAGATTTTTATATAATTATTTCCTGTTTGGCAACTCATATATATATATAGCGACTTAAAGGGTACTCGATGAGTAGCAAAAGCAAAGGATGAAGGAAGGGGAAAAAATGTCACTTTTAACATTTCATATCACAAAAAGAATAAAAAAGAGTTTCATATCACAAAAAGAAATCTGGTTTTCATTTAAAAAATCTTTATCTATAGGACTCAGGAGTGTCCGAAGGTGTTAAAGCATCCCGTGTGATGGACTAATGCAGGGCCCAGAGCTGCCGGACCACCTCAATCAAGATTGTCCACATTCAGTGATGACAGACTGGATCTAGCGGATTGTTTGCCAATATATCCTTCTAGAGAACATCCCAACTGGAATACTTGGGAAATGAAGTTTAGAAATATCAGCCATCATCAGTTCAAAAATAAGCATGTCTTTAAATGCAGTAAAACAATTAAACGTACAATTAAAACAATTACATTGAATTAACAATTAACATTAATATTGAATATTAAAATAATATAAACTCAACAATAGAATAAGATAATTCACCAGAAAGAAGTTTAACATGGCTGGGTATCTTAATTTAATTTAATTTTAAAAATATGTATATAGGGAACTCTTTCTATTTTAATCTGAGGAGTTTATCTGTATATAGAGTAACAATGTTGTAAAGACATTGAAAGCAAAAAAACAAACAAACAATAGATCAAAATGTATTTTTGTTTTGAAATTTTATTAAAGCACACACATAAAAATGGGTGGATCTTGAAAACAACTGAAGTCACTTGGGTTTGTGTAACTCCAGGTAATGCCAGTTATTGGATATTGTGATTCTGTTTGCCTCATTGAAATTTTAAATATCTGGGTGACACTTTACAGTAACTTTCATTATTATTAACAAATTCCATAATGCCTAACAGATCATTAGTTAATGTACAGTCAAACACTTGTGATATCTGAATGTAAAGGAACTACTGATTTGTTAACCATGTCTTTAAATTATGAGAGATATTTTAAAGTGAAACCAATATTAGTGTTGTTACAACCATAAGACAACAGAAAACTGAAATATGGAAACAGCCTCAGATGACAAATGTTTTATACTTTACATTCCATTTTTTCCCCAATTTTAATAAAATAGTATGGTATATACAGTGGTACTTTAAATACATAAGCATACAGTTGCTTGTTAAAAGGCAAACTTAAATAATTTTCAGTGCAAAATGCCTGCTCAAAATAAATGTTAAGAAACAAAATAAAAGCATGTGGATAAAGATATTAATCTGGAATTTTTCCATGTCTGTAGCTGGACCAATTATTGCTTATTTACTTTCACCTAAAAATGAGATTCTAAAGCATCTGAACCCAAAGCTTTCATTTCACCCTGAGAAAATAAAAAATGTAATATAATTCTGTGGTGCATTTGTTCATCGTTCAGTGAAATGCAGCTGACAATTTTAGATTCTTTTCAATAAAGAAGTGCTGTTTGGTGCACACGAGTTGGAACAAAGTCTGCCAACGTAAAAGAAAAAACGATGCATTCTCATGCAAATGCTAAACATTGGTCTGCCAGTCTATTCATTGGCAGACCAATGGGAAGCATGATTCCATAGCAGTGTTAAATATATTTAAAAATATTTACAATAAAAACTTCATCCATGTTACACCTGGGAGAATTTCATACAGGTTGCAATATGACCATCAGCATCACCAGTCACATACACACCGCCGCTCTCTCAAGTGTAGTGTTAGGAGTCATTGCACTTTCACAACGTACAAAACATAATTCTCAACCTTTAAAAATACATTACAAAAAATTACTGCATAACTTCACTTTTTTTCTCTTCATTTTTGCACCATATTTACATTATTAACCTACAGTGGTGAATATTTTGGCAGGAGACATGGAGGATGCAGTCAAAATATACCACAGTACTTTTGAGAGTAGTTACCTTACAGTGAGTTATTGGATTTTGAAAAAAGGGCCAAAGCTAGAAGTATAACATAGTTTGTAAGTTACATTGTCAAACCCAGCCCAGTGTTTGGAGTTCATGTGGATGCCTCTAGGAATGCTGGGACATTCCATTCACCAGACTTCTCAGCTGCTTCACCACTGTCTCGATCAATTTCTGCTTGTCACGGTCGTTCTTCCTGAACTGGGAGAAGATGATGTTCTTTTTACTTGTGTCTTTCATTCTGGAAAAGCAAAATGAGGGGATAATATTACAGTCGAATATATGAAGAAAATATCAGAGTCCAGAAAACATCTATTATTATTATTTTCCACATTTTAGAATAATAGTAATGTCAACTAAAACTAATTTTTTTTTATTATATATAAATATTTATGAAATATTTCGTTTCATATTTTTAATCAGATTTTAATTTGAGCTTACATTTTAGTAAAACTTTTCTGTCTTGTAAATATAGTTTCTATTAAGTTTTAGCTATTTTAGTACTTCAACTAAATGAAAAACAGAACATTTTTCCTTGGTAGGTTAATCTTTATTTAAATTGTTTTTATTCATATTTATCTTTTTAGGACCACAAACATATTTTGCAACCCTTTTGGTGATGCTAGTGATACAGAAATAACACGCTTCTCTTTTAAACTCATATGTAAAAATTACAACAATTCCAGTATAAATATACAATTCAGTCATGAAACTCTAGATGGCGCATTCTGACGGGGTGTTAACGTAACTGATGATATTCAGAGAGTTAAACGACTTGGCACAAGCTGATTGGTTCATGCTGCATATGCAGCCAATGAGCTTACTGCCTTGCATTTATATGGCTGGCTAGCATTCACTTGAGATTCCTGCAGCGCGCTTTCAGAGTTCTCTGAAACCCTCCACCTTCCCCAGCTCCACCTGTATAGATCTGCTACGGGGGCATTTTATATGCTATTTGTGCAGCAGCAGTATGTCTTAAATACTCATGGCACCGTATCGCCATATGCATTGGCAGTAGCAAGTTCCTGTACTTGCTTGCAGCAGCAGCAATAATCTACAACTATAGCAATAACCAACAGCAGCAGCAATTCAGCAGCAGCGTAGCAGATCTGTTCTGCCAAGACCAAATACATTAACATTGTCATATCCATCACCATGCTAAAATGTTCCGAGAGTTGTCATGATTGAAATGCATATTTTTATGATATATATGCTATATCAGATGATGGTTCAATTCTGCATATGCATCCTAAACACATTTAAATACATTATCAAAGAGAGATTTTTCAGTGCAGTAAAAATCATGAATTAGTAATGATATAGTGATCCGTGACATATGTATCATGCTATGTAAATTATTCACATAATATTATTATTCAGTCTCTCTGTACAGTATGCATGCTGTAATGGGTGTGGGATGAATAAATGATGATGAAATAAATTATATGATATAGTCCAGGGGTGTCCAAACTACGGCCCGCGGGCCAAATGCGGCCCGTGGATGAATTTTAAGCGGCCCGCAGCTGTCTTAATAGTTTATATTATATATGGCCCGCCAAGCATAATTTATAGTCTCTTCATGCATTTCACATTACTATGGAGAGAGAGAAATCCATGTTGGATCTACGTACCCTCTGTTGACTCTGGCATTGGTAAATAAGAAAAAAGAAAGAGGACGAAGATTATATATTAGGTTAAAAAACAAATCAGAGCTCCACTGTTCAAATCACGTCATCATTTGTTCACTTATGTCTGAGATTCTGTTCTGAAACTAGTGAGCCACCAGCAACATCTTAACCATCATGGTTCTAAAAGTAACTGTTTAAAGCACTCTAGGAAGCTTCAATGATTTCAGTGGAGTTTGATATTAGCATTTCTTCACTGAGCTGAAGGAAAGAGTAAAAACACTACATACTTTTCCAAAAGTGCTAGCGCAGTGGAGGGGTTCACCCGCAGGTACTTTGAGGTGGGCTGTCCGTAGTCTGCCAGGTACGTGGACCAATCCCACACCATGAACAGATCTAGAAGCTGAATGAATTACAAAAAAAAAACACAGCGTCAAAAACAGAATTTTATAACTTATAACTTGAACCAGAACCAACAGAATAGGTTGTAACACACTGAAAAAGAATACAATGAATGTAATTGCCATTTGTTTTGATTTAGCATACACTTTTATGCAAAGAGTTACAAATGAAGAAAAACGTGAACACCACAATATAATAACTAGGGCTGCCACACTTCTTGAACAAAAGAATTTCCAAGGAATTTATACAATTATACATTTGCAAAGATTCTTAAATATAATTTTACAGAGAATGCATACATAATTCAAGCCAAAGAAATATATCACAGCTGAGAATAAAGTGGAAAAAAACATTTAAAAAATATTTTATTCTCATGACTTTTCTAGGCCTGGTCAGGATTATTATACTTAAAGTATACTAAAACTAAAACCATAAAACATTAATTGAAATAAAAGAAATTTTATCTAAAATAAAATGAATATGCATTTTTTCCCCCAAAATTGATTTCAGCTAGTGGCCAAAGCAACATTTCTCAGTTTCAGTTAAATTTGATGTAATAAAATAACTAAAACTTAAATAAAAATGAATATGTTTTTTTTTAATAATTCTATAGTTTTAGATACTGTATATATATATATATAGTATCTCAATAATACTAAAATAACACTGTTCTGGAAATTCCCAGATATTTTTTTACTTTTTCTATATAAGAACCCCAATCATAAGAAACAAACAATATTCAAGGTCCAAAAATAAAAAAAGAAAGTTGTTAGTTGCCCAAAGAGAAGTGTGTGAGGTCATACACTAATGGCGGGGGTTAGTATTAGGGCACTTGTTGGGGAGCTGGGAGCACTTTAAATGCAAAAGGAAGAGAAATCCCTTCGTGACCTCCAGATAACCCACAGAGGAGCTAATCCTGGCTCCACGGTGCTCTGGTCAGTAGGCTCCCTGCCACTTTGCAACTCTGATTCAAAGCAAGGCTCTGGACACATTGAACTTAATTTGCTGGAGAAGGGCCAGACCACTCACCTCTATATATGCAAATCAATATCAATCAATGGGGGACAATTCCTGGAAGGCTCGTTCATTATGGAGGGCCGGGAGAGGAGGGTTCAGGGGGCTAATAGCACTTCACACCTACTACGTGGTCCGTATTGAGGAGGTCTGTTTTTCAGACCGCTATTTAGTGCTGTTTGCTGCTCCTGCTGGGCTGTGACGATATTGCAGCTAAACACACCAAGACCCTGCGGAGCATCATGGGCAACAAGATTGTGCTGGTAAATGTCAATATTTGCAGACCTTTGGCCAGGGCGATACAGCTAAATCAATTATCCAAAAAAGATTTAAATGTCATTCAGGGTATACATGATATAAGGTCATGCATTTCCTGAATAACCATCCAATGACTAGTTTGGACTGTTATGAATTAGATCTTGATGAATATTCGATAAATGGTGGGATCCTAAAGTCCCAGACCACCCTGAAAATATCAAAGCAATATCTTAGATTCTGTAAGTCACTATGTAGACATTCTACACATTATTTGTGTGCCTTTATTTAAGATTATTATAATCCCAGTCAATGCATTTCTCCTCCAGTCTAAGTGCACTAGTCACTGGAGCACTAATCATGACCTTATAGAGATCTCACCGATATAGACTCACAAGCCCAACATGATCTGACAAAGTTCACAGTGAGTAATCTATAGAAAAAGTTCACCTCTGAATGTTTTAGTCAAAGATGAGTTGAAGGTTCATTTGAAGGGGACATATGCAACTATCAATTGCAATGAGCTTTTTTTCAGAGCTGCATTTTTCTGGTACAAGACAATGAGGGGTTTTAAATTTCAATTAGGATGACAGCATTACATTGACATTAAATACACCCTAATATATACTAGAATACACCTTGTTTATATACAGTACTCTATATACACTGCTATTCAAAAGTTTGGGATTAGTAATACTTTTTCCAGAAAGGAGGCATTAAATTGACCAAAAGTGACAAGAAACACGTTTATAGTTCAAATAAATGCTGTTCAATCGAATGCTCTATTCAAGGAATCTTGAAAAATGTTTTACAGTTTTCACAAAAACATTAAGCAGAACAACTGTTTTTAACACTGATACTCATAAGAAATGTTTCTTGAGCACCAAATCAGCATATTAGAGTGATTTCTGAAGGATCATGTGACACTGAAGACTGGAGTAATGATGCTGAAAGCTTTCAGCTTTGCCATCAAAGAAATAAATTACATTTTACAATATATAAAAATAGAAAAGTTATTTTAAAGGGGTGATATGATGTTGCTAAAAAGAACATTATTTTGTGTATTTGGTGTAATGAAATGTGTTTATGCGGTTTAAGGTTAAAAAAAACACATTATTTTCCACATACTGTACATTATTGTTTCTCCTCTAAGCCCTGCCATTCTGAAACGCGTCGATTTTCACAAAGCTCATCGGTCTGAAAAGCGAATTGTGCTCTGACCCTCCAAACTGTAATACATTTTCTCAATATTATGGTTTTTATTGTATTTTTAATCAAATAAGTGCAGCCTTGGAGACTTCTTTCAAAAACATTAAAAAAAATTCCACAGATCCCAAAGTTTTGAACAGTAGTGTTAAAGGCATCATATGATGCGATTGCATTTCCGTCACACGCTTGAGGTATTCGGCCAATCACAATGCACTGGATAGCTGGCCAATCGTCATGTAGCTCAAACCATGCAGTATGACACTAATAACACCAGGGTCATTGTTTAATTCTTAGGGAATGCAGGAAACGGTAAGCAAGTAAATGTAAGAAACAAAGAAAGAAAGAAAACTGAACCGCTTCATTAATGCTATACATATGAGAGAATATGAGCATTTTTGATTATTGCCTCTAACACAGACTTTAAACAGCGATGTTTTAAATGTTGTTTTTATTGCTAATTGTTGCAAAAAAGTAGCAAGTTACTGGAAAAGCTGTGAACAACTGATCTATTCTCACGCTACTGAAAAAAGGAGTCAAGTTAGCAGCATCGCTACTTTTAGATACTTATTCGCTGGTGCTGGTGAAAGTGAAGAACACAGGAAAACTCAGAAATGTGCCTTCAGACATTTTAGTCTCTTTTAAGTGATGTAAGCAAGTGAATTTTTACCAGTATTAGTACAAGCATCTGCAGCCCTGCACAGCATCACCTTACAGACAACAAGAATTAAAACGTTTAAAACACAACAGAGTAAACAAGAGCCGCTCCATTAGCTGCTGCGTGACTGGCAGGGAGACTGTGACCTCTCTATTTGAGAGCTCTAGGGTAGATCTGCATCATAATGCATGATGGGAAGGTTATCTACACGGGGGGTGGGATGAATAGGTAAATTCTGACGGCCAGCACTCCACTCTCCTTATCTCTGACCTTGTCCGAGCTCACTCTGCCCGAATTGGAGCCAGAGCTCGCTGAGAGCACTTGAGAGAAGCTGTCAGCAAATCCTCCAAGAAACCAGGCAAGGATCAAAGCAGCGTCATGCTAATGGTAATCGAGAGGTCTTGGCGAGCGGCCGCAGTCGTGACACGCTGAAAGACGCCACCCCGACCGGTGCGTGCCACGCAGATCAAGCCAGAGCTTTCCCATGAACAGGTGGTGTATGTGATTCAGCATGTGAATTGAAATTGCACCCAAAAATAAAATTCTGTCATCATTTACTCGCCCTCATGTCATTCCAAACTCTATCACTTCCTTTTCTTCCGTGGAATACCAAGGGTGAATTTCTGAAGAATGGACCCATTTTATATGATGCAAGACCACATTTATTAACATTTATATTTATATCATTTTTAACGCGTATCATACATTTATAACATATTTCTTATCTTGTAATCAAACATCATTGAAAACCTGACGTTTAAATCATATGGTCTACTTTTATGATGCTTTTAAAGATATTTTAAGAAGATATTTCATGCTTTAAAGTGGAATTCAATGATCACCAAACTGATTGGTTACCATAATTCTTTCCTTTGTGTTCTCCAGAAGAAAGAAAGTCATAGGTCTAAAACTACATGAGGATTTCATTTTTGGGTGAACTATCCCTTTAAGAGCTTAAAAAGTCCCAGTCCCCTTCGATTTTTTATGACAGGGACACCATTTTCATGGTGGGACATTTATGACAGAAATACAATTTTTTTTCCCTTCGACAGCATCCTGAAAACTGAAGGAATACTGCAGCATGTGTGATTTGAAGACACATTCAGCTTTCTGCTGAACATAAATAGAGGTATTAGAAATCAAAGGGATTTTAAACTGAGTGCTGTTAACTCCACACCCTAATAATACTTCCTTATATGACATACCTTTGTAGAAGAAACCTTGACATGACCCCGGTTTTACACCTTAAGCACCCTCAGGCCCAGATTAAAAGTTCAAACTCCAAGCAGCACAAAAAAAAACAGGACCAAACGGAGAAAGAGCTCCTGATAGCATAATGAACCCCACTGCGACTAAGTGATTTCCCCTCCTGAAGGTAAGCGTGTTCAGGTTTGGATAATCCATTAGTGCCTGTTAATGCTGTATGTTCTCCACCCTTCCCCTCAGCTCACTCACAGGGACTGTGGATCAAGAACGGCCATGTCTGCAGAGAGGTCTGTACCTGTCGGAGGTCAATGAAGGCCAACTGCAGTGTGTCCCCCTGGAATCCTGGCACGGGCTCTGAACTGGCAAACACTGTGAAAGGAACAGGAAAATAATATTTAAAAAACGATTAGTTGGTGTGCGTTGTGTAAAGACATCAAATTAAACCCCTGAACAATATTTACAAAGCATTTTTGTTACCCTGAAACATTAACGAAAACTTGATAAAGCCAACATATTGATCTACTATTTATTATTATTATTATTATTACATTTCTGAGAATAAAATTTCTAACACTAAGTTGTCCTAAAACGTTAAAGCTGCATCCACTAAACTTTCAAACTATTCTGACTTGTGTTGCCGTTTATATTTGTAACTTGACTTACAGCTTTCCAAGACCAGATGATCAAAACTACCTATCCAACTAACTAAATCTCTCTCTCTCCTTCGGTTGGTCGCCAAAGGAGAATTACCCATACAGGTTTTTGCCACAGGTTTTACTCAGGATGTCCTTCCTAACTATCTATTTAAGGTTGTCCAAAACCAGATGATCAAAACTAACTATTTAGCTAACTGATCAAGACCTATGGTCTTCCAAAATCAGATGATCATAACTAACTAACTCTATCTATGTTTTTTTAAAACTAGATGATCATAACTAACTATCTATGGTTTTCTGTAACTAGACGATTATAACTCACGCACTCTCTATGGTTTTCTAAAACTAGATGATCATAACTTTATCTATGGTTTTCTAAAACTAGACAATCATAACTCAGTCACTCACTCAATCTGTTTTCTGTAACTAGATGATCATAACTCAGTCATTCAATCTATGGTTTTCTGAAACTAGATGATCATAACTCACTCACTCTATGGTTTTCTGAAACTAGATGATCATAACTCACTCACCCACTATCTATGGTTTTCTAGAACTAGATGATCATAACTCAGTCACTCAATCTATGGTTTTCTGAAACTAGATGATCATAACTCACTCACCCACTATCTATGGTTTTCTGAAACTAGATGATCATAACTAACTCTATCTATGGTTTTCTGAAACTAGATGATCATAACTTACTCTATATTTGGTTTTGTAAAACTACTCTGTGTTTCTAAAACTAGATGATCCCAAGTAACTAACTCATTCACTCAATCTATGGTTTTTTCTAAAACTAGATGATCATAACTAACTCACTCTATAGGTTTCTAAAACTAGATGATCACAAATAACTAACTCACTCACTCTATCTATGGTTTTCTAAAACTAGATGATCATAACTAACTAACTAACTAACTAACTCTATGGTTTTCTAAAACCAGATGATCATAACTAACTCACTCTATCTAAGGGTTTCTAAAACTAGAGGATCACAAATAACTAACTCATTCACTCAATCTATGGTTTTCTAAAACCAGATGATCATAACTAACTCACTCTATAGGTTTCTAAAACTAGATGATCACAAATAACTAACTCACTCACTCTATCTATGGTTTTCTAAAACTAGATGATCATAACTAACTAACTAACTAACTCACTCTATGGTTTTCTAAAACCAGATGATCATATCTAACTCTATCTATAGGTTTCTAAAACTAGATGATCACAAGTAACTAACTCATTCACTCAATCTATGGTTTTCTAAAACCAGATGATCATAACTAACTCACTCTATCTAAGGGTTTCTAAAACTAGAGGATCACAAATAACTAACTCATTCACTCAATCTATGGTTTTCTAAAACCAGATGATCATAACTAACTCACTCTATCTAAGGGTTTCTAAAACTAGAGGATCACAAATAACTAACTCATTCACTCAATCTATGGTTTTCTAAAATTAGATGATCATAACTCACTCCCTCTATCTATGGTTTTCTAAAACCAGATGATCACATCTATCAGACTGATATTAGTGGTAAAACTAGCTCAGCTATGTTGAAAATCTGTCAGTTATTCAGATTAGCTATCATTTTGTACAAATTTCTGACTGATGAATGCTGGATAAACCGTAAGAATCAATTGTTCCAGAGAGCTTTGTAATAGAGTATGACCATTTAGGAGAAGAATCATTTGTGTTGTTCAGACAGTGAACTACACTGCTTTAAAGTTTGTGCAGCCAGCTAAGACATTTTCCTCACAAAGATTTTATTAATGATAACAGACCTACCATGAGCCCAGAGATCACATCACTGTGTTCATGTGCAATTACAATTGATCTACAGTGTTTTTTTGTATAGTTGAGCTGCAGTCTTTAAGTATACAAGATGCAAAATTAAATATTTTAAGGACTAAATTAATGTTGCATGTCACCTATGTCCTTTAGAGCAAGTGCACTGAGGCCACGTGTGGTCCCATTAATGTGTATGTATGCTGGATGAGGCCAAACTACAAAAACAGGACTGGTAAGATTTCAGTTGGAGTGTTTTAAACATTTAAAAAAGACAGATTACTGTTTCAGTCTGAATGAAAGTGCATGTATGACCTTGATTACATCCCAAATGCATGTGACCACACATTTCCTACACCTCCGTCAACTATCCACTGACACACTATAAATTACAAGCAAAATTCAGACAAATCAGACTGTAAACTCACAACTTGGGATAAGTATTCTTATGGGTGAATCTTAACTGTCTGTGTTTTGACTAGAGTAAGATAAGCTGCCGCTAATGGGACAAACACCATTCAGACCTTAGAAAAGGGTCAGACATTCCCTGCCGTACCTGTGCGGTTGAACCCTCATAAACTCTAGACATCTGTGGCCTGAGGCAACAGATACGAGCATGCACACACACAGCCTTTCACTTCTGCTGACAGTAGCGTGACTGAAACCTTAAATGGCTGAGGAGTAGAAGATAGAACCAAAGAACTGTCCACATATTAACATTATTGATGAACGCTGTGCTCTGACATCTCTATTGTGCCATTCAGAACCAAAGGGGCTTTATGGACTTCCCCAGGGAGATATGAAACCTCAATGAGATCAGTTTCTGCATTTCACAATATCATAGACACTTGAGGATCTTTTGACTTGGGAAAGAAACATTTTAAGGTCAGCTCCATAAATGGTCGGGTCTGTTTTCATAATTCTGAAGTCCAATACATTTCAGATCAGGATGAAGCCATTAAGCCCAATGGAGATCAGCAGAAATGTGCTCCGTTCCTTAAAAATGTGTCATATGCTATTTTAGACATATGCCTAAAAGCAGTAATTACAATGTCTAAAGCAAATCCACATACGCACACACAGACAACAGTTTTGTCATATGGCTTCAAAACAGCATTTCCATTTTTAGTAAAACTATGAATGATATCCTCATATGGGTGGGTAATGCATGCAAATGCAGCACATGTAAGATGAATGAACGTTCAAATGGATAAGCGAGTAATGTTGCTCTAAACTGTTCCATATCAGCTCATATCAGAACAGGTGTGGATTTCCAAGAGCAGGTGGAGTGCGGGTAATCAGGAATGTTCCTTGAAAGAGTGTAACTCAAATAACTGCTTCTGAGAACAGCTGATAATATCAATAATACCTGCTGCATGAATGCATCTACCGACATGCCTGTCTGTTAGTGCATTAGCCACATTCCACTTTGAAAATGGTTTATGGTAATGCTCAAACTTTTAGAATGGATGTATTTTGTAAAAGGTCTGGTTTATTAATTAATGATTTACGGCAGATAAGATGCATTCAATATATGATTACTATTATTTTAGACTTCGGTTACAAAGCTGTTGCATGGCTTCAGAAGACTTCAAATAAAGCATATGGACCACTTTTATAGTGTACAGGGACTACACTGTAAAAATCATCTTAATTTGAATGGCGAAGACTGTAAAAATGCTACTGTAAAAAGGTTCTTTTACTCTTATATGGTGAAAATTTGTAATAAATCTAATGGGACATTTTATGTGATTTTACAGTAGTTTTTGGAAGTGAAAAAGAACAAATCATCTTATAATTTACAGTGAAAAAACATAAATTGATATTGCCAGATTTCCATGTGGGGTTTTCCTTGAAATAACCGTTTCTTCTTAGTTGTTCTATGCCACATTAGGGTTTTATGTAACATCTTATGTTGTCAAATTAATGTTTACTGCATTATTTTTGTCTCATTTGTATTACCATGACTGTGTTTTGTATTTGTGTATTTGTGTATGACACTGTGTGCACCTTGTATATATTAATATTTACTTCACCTTTGGAAAAAACTGCTTGCTGTCGCTGATTAGCTTGATTTTACATGTGGCTTTTTCTTTACCTCCTGTGTTATTTTTTTTTTTCTAGTGCATTAGTGATTAGTATTTCAGTGGGTTGATATATTAATATTATATCAATATATTTATGGTTTACTTTAAAATGGAAGTTCAATTCGTAAAATCTACAGTACTTTTTATAGTAAAGTTTTGTCAACAACAACATTTTTTTTTTTTTTACTGTAAATTTCAGTGAAAGAAGAGGGTGAGTAAATAATGACAAAAGCTTCATTACTGGGTGGACTATTGAAATGAACATGGGGGTGGCATTGCAAATACGCAATTATTAAATTATCAAAGACGCACTACTCACGTTCACACTGTATGACATCCAGGTTGAACTGCTGAATGGCTCCCATGCTGATCTGTTTGAGCTCAGTATCCAGCAGCATCTGCATCAGTGACGTGGCCAGGTGTTTACAGGCAGACATACACGCCGTCTGTGCCACCTTACCCTGAGGAACGGCACACAAACACACCAACAAACCGTTAGTACAGGTGTCCTCAGCCACACACGGCATCAGTGCTTTTCTATCTCCAAGTCTTCATTAATTCAGAGTATGAACCAAAGTTAGTATCAGGGTCTGTGTCACTCTAGGAACATAAAGTAATGGCTAATTTAGAAGTATCTCTGAGCAGTTTCACCCTAAAATATTGCTCCAAGCCCAAATGAATTTTTTCTTTTATCATCTTATAAAAAAAATTAGCTAATAACAATACATAATTTAGAGTCCCAACTAATAAATCAATACGTATTGTGCCCGTAATGCCTGATTTCACCATTAGCCTAGATTAGATTCAAATAAGTATATTATTTTACTGAATATGCACTATTTAAATATTTCAGACGATATAAATCATAGACAATATAATTGTTCAATTGTAAAAACATGAAATAATTTATTCAATTTAACATTTATAATATGGTCACTGATTAAATACTGATCCAGTGACAATGTGCAAGCTATTGTGTTCAATACATTTCTGTATTTTAAGAAAAGCAGAATTATATGTATTTCAATGCTGGTGTGATCATTATCATGTGCATGGGGAACCAGAAACAGTAATTACAGTTTCAGTAATTATGCACGAAAATATTTACAGAATTTTAATCTTACTGTCACTAATTACAAAAGTACATCATGATTATTGGTGTTTTTACTGCAAAAACACACAAAAAAATGCAAATATTGCAGCCATTTTTTGAGAAAAGCCACAGCAAATTCTGAAATATTAGGCTGCACAAATCTGAAAAAAAAAAAAAAAAAAAAAAAAAAAAACCCGGGGGGGACC